ACAATCTAAAACCCTTATTTGTAAACATAGTAACTACAACCATTATTTTTTTTGCTACCGATGAGACTAAGTCCAAGGAGCTTTATGATAGCCATTAAACATACTTTAGAATTCCAACTACATACTTCCTTTTCAGATCCAGCTGACCGATTTATTATTTTAAAGGCCACTGTTGATAACAAATTGATCACTCTGGTAAAGTTATATGCCCCCATCACACATCAACAATCTTTTTTTTCTGTGGACTCCTAGCAAAACTTAAGCAACATTCTCAAGGACATATTGTGCTTTGTGGGGATTTCAATGAAATCCTGAATGTTGACTTAGATTCCTCTAACAAAGCATGTAAGCATTCTTCTACCTTATCTTCCTTTTTAGAAGATGCAAAATTATTTGACGCATGGAGATGTTTGCATGATAATGAGAAATATTTTACCTTCTTTTCTCAGCCACAACAATCCTATTTCCGGATTGATCTGTTCATTGTAGACAAACTCACTCTGCAACATATCTCTAAATTGGAGATTGGAGCTATTACATGCACAGACCATGCACCTATCTCCCTAGAGATCTTTAGCTCGCCATTCAATAAAAACACATCTGTATGGCGATTAAATCTATTTACAGTGGGGGAACTCCAATACAGGAGGTGTGTGGTACTGGCCAGATCACCAGATGAAAAACAGAGGGAAAAAAAATTTAAATAGAGAAAACTAAAGCAGCCAATGCATCTAATGATTGTTAAGCTGCAATATATTACATTGTTGGTTTTGGGCTTAACCTCCTTGGCGGTATTCCCGAGTGTAGCTCGGGGTAACATTTCAGTACCAAAAGCGGTAACCCCGAGCTACACTCGGGAATACCATGCGGCGCTGCTCCGGCATGTGTTCTTCACTTACCTTACCCTGCGCTCCCACGATGTGTCCCCTGCAGCGTCCCCGGCCATCTCCTCCGGCCGATGCCGGCATCCGGCTTCTGTGTCCTGTCCCTGTGACGTCGGGACGTACGGCGCCGCGCCGCCGCCGGCGGGGAAATTTAAAAATTTTAAAAAATGTCATTTTTTTTTTTTTTTTTTTTCATTTTACACAGTAAAACATTGCTGTTTCAACCTATTTCACATACATATTGTCCCTAGTGCTTTGTCCTGTGCCCCGCCTGCATTTTGTCTGTTCTTTCTGCCTGGAAACTGAGAAATGTCCATGGCGTCCAAAAAGTGTCCCTTTAGGTCAAAAGCGGTTTAGATCAGCTAGAGAACAGCGATAGTAAATCAGAACCACTTACAGAATTGAGTGATAATGATTCGTGGGGGAAATTTGTCATCAGAAACTGAAAACGATTTTGCGACTGAGCTCAGCAATGTGCGAACTTGGCGCTCTATTTCACATTTCAGTGTTTTTGGTTTGATTATATTATTGAATTAAATTTTTTATTATTTTATATTATTTTTTATGATTATTTATTAAATTATAATTTATGATTTTGTGTTTCAAATTTTATCATACCCGGGATGTTTACTAGACTCTTGTTCGGACAGATTTCAGTGAGTTTTTCCTAAAAATTACAGCCTACAATAAAAAAAATACATATTTCCATGCAAAAAAATGGTACCGCTTTCAGCACCAAAAATCTGAAATAATCATACCGCCAGGGAGGTTAATACCACTTTACCTTTCCAAAAAATATAACAGACATGAATTATTTTTTTCTTTGTAATGTTTCGAAGTAGTGTTCCAAATGAGCTGGTGGATAAAACAGGTTAGTATAATACATTTGTTTGATATAGAAAAACTGCTTTTCCTTGTTTTTTTTTTACAATTTTTTTTAAATCCATGCTATTCATCGCCTTGACAGATGTTCCCTGTAGGTTACAATTACCTTCTTTCTTCAGTTAAGTGTTGCCCAAAACCTTGGCAGCTTACTCACTTGTCATTTTTCTATCCTATTAATCTTTCATACTCTTTAAAGGTCTTGATCTAGTATGCCTATAATCTGGCTTAGCCCTGGGAACGTGTTGAAGGCTATGTTTACAGTGGCGGTACCATGATGAATACTATTTGGGTAATATCGCTTTGCAATTTACCTAAATGTAATTTATTGGGTTTTTAACTGGTTTTTAAATAAAGAGACACTATGGTTGATAGGTCTTATTTATCATTAAATGCATCCTTAAACATTATGAGGCACATAAACATGCAGCTACTGATTCATAAAGAGATGAAAATGTATTGTGTTGTGTAATGTTGCTTTACTGCACTGTAAAATCATCCCTGCTTTTTTTTTTTTTTATATAATTTATTCAAAACTGTTCTGACCAATTAAATGTCAGAATGAAGTGTAAAGAACAGTAAAAGGTATATTTGTTAAAAAAGGCAAAAACTTGAAGTAGAATATATAGAATTATGAAATATGTAGAATTACAAAATTCCACCTTGAAAGAAGTTCCTTCTCCCTTTTTTATGTTTTTTTTTTTTTTTTGCATTCAACTGAATATGTTATAGAAGCTTTAGGGAGGCATAAAATATCTGCAACATGTCTAGACAAAAATGCAGAAAGTTAAAATAAATAGACATACCGGTAAGTGCTGAAAAGTGATGCTTGTCATTTTTGTGTTAATGCAGAAATTTTAAACAATCGTACATTTATTCATGCTATTCATACATTCAGGTTATAAACAGGTGTTGTTAACTCAAGGAGTCAAAAAGCTCTAGTGAGTGTGGTGTGGATTGGGGAACCACCAGGACTGTATAGTGGCTACGGAAGCACTGAATTGGATCACAGATACACTTATTTATCTATCTTATGCAGTATTATAGTCATAGCACTTGTTCACCACGCACGGGTATGAATCTGCACTCAATATTGGACTGATAGTCTATGTTTGTTGGACTTTTATTCACTGAGTTTTTATCTATATTTGCTTTGGACTGTATAGTGCTGTGCCTCTCTTTGGGATTTGTATGACTGCAGTTTGGGACACAATATTGCTGTCCTGAGGCAGCAGTTGACAGCAGTTGACACAGTTCACTTCAGATCACTTCAATAGCACTGCTTTTTTTTTTTTTTTGTTTAATTTTCAATTTATTTTTTTACCATAAGCATTCATAAAACTCTTTCATGGGTCTTCTCAAAAGCCGAATGACACCCCAACAAGTGCCCATAGGAGAGTTCCAGTACCACTTTTCAGTATTACTGAGGGACTACTAATTGTTCAAAAATCACATAATTGTTTTTAAAAAACAGTACTCGGTACATGTGCTCAGTGTTAATGAAGTAGGGAAAAGACAGCCTGTCTTCTGGTTCAACAAGTTTGCCATTGATCACTACAGCAATTTACCATGCCCTGACAAGGGTAGTTTTTTTTCTCTTCTTGATTCTAAAGTTTTCTCTGTTAGTATTAAAATCAGCAAACTCCAGAGTAACCCCAGTGTCAGCAGAGGATTGTCCACTTCCATAGGTCACAGGGATTTCTTTAGATTCCTTCAGTCCAATTCACCTTCAAAAACAGAGAAAGGAAAAGCTGGGAGGTCCAAAGAGGAACCCTCTGAATCCAATTTTTTGTGCAGGTCAAGGATTCTGGCTCATCCTCTGATTAAGACTGTATGACTAACTTTTGTTGGTCCAGGAGTTCCCAAAAGTATGTGAAGTATCATTTAAACCATATGAATCCCAATACCTTGTACTAATCCAAATTTCACAGTTGATATAGGATACTTATGTTCATCACCATGTACACATACTGCAGCAACCCTTTCAGCATGGAAGTTAGGAAAGGCAATAAAATCAGCTTTAGCCAGAGTAATATGCTTATTGCCAATTATTAAATACATATTTTCCCAACACTGGAACTGTAGCACATGAAACAGTGTCAAACAAGGGCTGTCATCTATTTTTAAAGAAAATCCACATTGCATAGGCTGATCAGCCAATAGATTTGCTGTCCAGATTCTTGACAATGGAAACATTTCCCATTTCTCAGATTCGATCTGCTGACAGGCATTGTCTTATCTCATTTGGGATGCCATTTTATAGACCTAATACCAAATGTTTTCCCCCATCTCCTTGCTATCCTTTCCACCTACTTTCCCTGGAACAGTCTTACCAGTTGCAGGGGGAAATTACTAATTATGGGGAGAGTCTGATGAATGGCAAGATTTTTTTTTTCCCTATTTACAGGTCATGCTAAATGCAGTGTAATTAGTCTGTAATTAATGTAGGATCTTTGTTGCTGCAGCTCACAAAAAAACTCTGAGCTTTTAACATCCACAGTGCCAGAAGTTAACAACAGGAAGAGGACCTGTCACCACTGCACAGAATATTTCTAAATGATTCAGCTGCCTGGCAGATGGGACACATACTTTATTACAGCTAAGTGATGTGACTGCAGCTATGGCAGCAAACTTATTTCTTGACTAACCATCAGTTTAAAAGAAGCAATACACAAATAACATTAAAATACACACACACACAAACACAAATAACACCAAATTAAATAAATTAAGCTGCCCTAAATACACCCCTCTCCACAAACAAAAATGATTATAATATGCCTTTTAGATATCTTCCTTTCCCCACATCTCTATAACCTAAGAAGGATGTGTCCCGTTTAAAAGCTATATGTCTAACAGGATCAGAAAGTATTTTGTTACAGTTTTTGAACAGACATTATAAGTACTTTCTTCTGTATATTTAACAGACCACAATAAAGCAAATAACACACTCACTGGTTCTCTTATTTTGCCATTAGCAGATTTTATCCAAATTAAATAACCTAATTCAGGATTAAATCCAACAGATTCATTTATGTACTTAGAATGAGAGTTTCTAGGTGATTAAAAAGTTTTAAAGTGCTTGTAAAAGCTAAATATTTTTTACTGTAAGGGCTCATGTAAACAGGGCATTTGAAAAACTTTTCTGAACACTGGAAACTGACTGCTAGAAAACGTAGGGTTAAAAACATCAGTTTAGCCATGTTTACCTACTGCATTTATGCGCGTTTGCGTTTAGAAGTATTTTTAAAAGATAACCTCAGGAGTCCCTCCCAAACCCAGAATGCACTGAAATATAGTAAACAATTAACTATTTCAAACATTTTGTGAGAAATAGAGAGAGCAGAAGCAGAGAGAGCGCTACTTTTCTGATGGGTGTTGGAACTGTAGCAAAAGTTGCTCGTGAGACATGCTTGGCACTGTGGGAGGAGTTACATAGTGCTGTAATGCCTGTAATGCCTCCGGATGCATTCTGGAGTGCACACAACACTCATTGTGCTTTTTTGCTGTGTGTTGATGTGTTCCAGTACGGTTCTGTGCAGAAATAATGCAGCACATTCACCATTTTTTCCTTCACGCAAAACCTGGAACTGACTGCACTGGTGTACTAGGTCCATTTGAATACATGGAAAACGCCGTGCCAGCCCAAAAATGCATCTAAACACAAAAGTGCATAAACATGTTTATACATGTTTACAAGCATTTACACATGGTTACAAGCATGTGGCGTTTGAAATGCTGGTAAACTCTACTCCTTTATGTGATTTTTGTGCTTTTCAAAAAAATATGCCTGTAACCTCAACTTGTTTAGCAGCTGCAGTGTACATGAGCTCTAATGCATTCTATGCATTATGGCAAAAACCTTCCATGCTGCAGGATCCTCTGAGCACCCTCATATTACCTGAGCTTGATCTCAATCCAGTGATGGGCATGAAAGTAGTGGCTCTTCCAGATCTGCCAACTCCTTACTGGGCAGATTGACAGCCACGCCAGCCATTGGCTCCCAATACTCTCAAAAAATCAGGGTGCAGGGCCAAGCTGCCCTGTCTGAGTCAATAGATGCAGACTGGGTGGTTTGGGAGCAAGTTCACATGAATGCTCCCATAGAAAAGCTGCTTTCCTATGGAGGCACTCACCAAAGAGGAGGAGCCAGGAGTGCTGCTGGGGAAGCTAAGAAGAGTAGGATCGAGGCTGCTCTGTCCATTGCACAGAGCAGGTAAGTATAGCAAGTTTATTATAAAAAAAAAGAAGAAGTTTAATATCACTGTAATTCACATACTGCAGTCTTAAAGTACAGGACCAGGGGTGGACTGACTATTTGGAAACTCGGGCACTGCCCGAGGGCCCGGGGTCAGTAGGGGCCCCATGAGATGCCCCTGGTACCTTTTTCATAGGCTTTTTTGAGTTTGGGCAAGGACACAGGGGCCCCATGATCCCCTATTGCCCAGGGGCCCCATGAGTTGTCAGTCTGCCCCTGCACAGGACTGATCATTTTTCAACCTGGTATTAAAACAACAATGGAACACACACTTGTGCCTTCCTACAATGAAAATTACATAGTAGAGAAGGGAGTGATACTAGCGTCAGACTTATTCTCACAAGATTTGCTTCAAAGAGATGTGCAAATTTGTGTTGCCATTATCATGTTTTTTTAATTCTCCTTACAGGTCAGTTTTCACTACAGGTCAGCGCACCCAAAATGCAGCTCACATTTCATATTGCAAAGGTTTTGTGAAATATGTAGAAAAACAGCAAGAGTATAAAAACATGACACATATTAACAGCAATACCCTCACCACATATATCTTATTATAGTATATAATCCATATGCTCAATAATCCAATAAAGTGAAATAAGTGCAGTCCTTGGAATAAAGTGCAGTGGTACAGTACTTGCTGCCAGAACAACAGTGCTGTGCTCCCCTCCTGTGTTCCCCGACTCACCAGTTGGTTTTGACCCTTGAATACTGAGGTAATTAATTTACTAAAGGTAAATAGACTGTGCACTTTGCAAAGTGCAGTTGCACTCTGCAAGAGCAGTTGCTCCAGAGTTTAGTAAATGAGCAGAAGCTTTGCTGACTTTCATCATCCAATCATGTGCGAGCAAAAGTGCTTTTTTTTTCAATTTTTCCTTGCACGTAATTGGGTATTCCTTGCAAAGTGAATCTTTATCTAATTTACAAAGTTCTGGAGCAACTGCAATTGTAGAGTGCAACAGCACCTTGTATGGTGCACAGTCTATTTGCCTTTAGTAAATCAACCCCTAAGAGTCAAGATGCACTTGAATGGAACAAATCTAAACCTGGGTGTTGTCTTAAATCCATTAAAGGATGATGATTGATATAATTAAGATATCAATTATCCAAGAAATGAACTTCCCCGCAGCAACTTGGTTCATCCAGAGAAAAACATTTTTATTTGGCTCCAGAAAAGTCCAACATATATTTGTGAATATTACAACAGCCCTCAGAGTCTCTTTTAGATACTTCATATCAAACATGGAGATACTACACTGTCCAGCATATGTCCAATCTATAATATGCACCTAGGTAGCAATAATGCAAGTTATGATCTATACCTGTGCTTCCATATTAATGAAAGAAAAAAAGCTCTACTACCAGCCAAAAAACGTCCCTAGATATACAATTTACTGTCAGTAAACAAAGCTGGAGGGCTTTCTGATTGGCTGAGAAAACACTTTTGATCTTAACATGAAAAGACTTTGCTTGCCATTACTGTAAATAACAATTAAGGTCACTATAGTGTTTACTAGGTAAACAAGTCACCCTTTCACCATTTACCATGAATACCCCCTTCAGTCTAATTACTATCAGTAAATATTTCTTATATGGTCAAATCACATTCTTTATCATCCTTAAACATGTAAGCAATGTACCTTTTGAAATGTCTAATTAGATAAGCAGGCTATTCCTCAAATACCAAGGTGACCTTGCATAAAATTAACGTAGCAAAGAGTTATTTTGATGTGTAAAGTGGTCTTGTCACTGGCCTGTCCATGGATGAACAGTATGTGTTTCAATATTTCATCTATCTATCTATCTATCTATCTATCTATCTATCTATCTCTCTATCTATCTATCTATCTATCTATCTATCTATCTGTCTATCTATCTTACACACAATATGCTACACTGGGCTCTTCTTTCCATTGTTCCTCCAGTCAACAGCAGAATTCAGAGAAGCATTGGATTGCATTGGATTTATAGTGCACTTGTTTTTATTGTATTATTATTGATTTTAATATTTACTTACCATAGCGCATGTATACAATATTTAATTTAGTATAGTAACATTGTTCAGTATTTTCAAATGATTAACTGATTGTTCTACGTTTGGGTGTGGGAATATGTATACATGGTATGAAAATTAAAGAATGACAGAATCCTATGTTTTTTAACTAACTATATTCTAGCTGGTAGTCTTATGGCCTGCTACACTCAGCTGCAGTGTCACACTAGATCTGCTTCATTTTAACCAGATTATGCATAGTCAGAGACATTTATTATGGTACATTGACTAAAGAGCTTTTCTTACTAAATAAAGTACAAAAAGACCAATTATACCTGACACATATTATAGCATCAGTTGTCATAACAGCTGAAAGACATAAATATAGCATACATATGAGAACAAACTCTGTGACTTTCTATATTTAAATCTGTAGACAAAAAATGCCAATGAATGTCAGGTTTTTCTTTCTGTACAACAATAAAGTCTTATGTTGACAGTGAGTCTCAACTGTTATGGACTGTTTGAATGTTGCATTTACCCCATGTGTGCCACTGACATTTCTTTCATATATTGTTTACTTAAAAGGGGCGATTTTTGATGATTCTGCCAGAAAAGATTATGAAGTATTCCGCATGGCAGTTGAAGACCTCAATCTAAATGAAGATATCTTACAAACTGAAAAAATTACATTTACAGAGAAATTTGTGGATGGTAGCAATCCTTTTGTGGCTGTCCAGGAAGGTAGGAAAGCTAAAATACATTTTTATGCATGTTTGTACCGCAGATTTGTTTTATTTTTTTAAATAATGATAGTTAATGACTGTGATTATAAACATTTTAGGTTGAAAGTCAAGTACAAAAAAGTTTGTCTTTTTATTTTTTTTTTGTTAACTGTAGTGCTTCTGTGCTTATTTCTCTTCTCATATTTTCACTGTCACATGCTTTTCAGCATAGTATTATGTCAGCTTTTTGCTGATTAGATTGTTGTTTATTTGACTGTGCAAAATAAGACAATATTTTTTTAGGTACATTTTAGTGTGTCATTTTTGTTTTTATTGATTTGCAAAATGCAACTGTATTTTTAAGGTACACAGAACAGCTGCTTCATAATCATTTATTTTATTTACCTATATGTTTTCATTATTTCAAGCATTTATATGTAATATACATTAAAATAAATTAACAAGATCCAGCTAGTTATTATTGGGGTGCATTTACTAAAGGAATGGAAAGTTTTTTACTTAGCAAAGTGATTGTTCATCTAGCTTAGTGAATAGGGTGAACATGTGATCTCATCAAAGTGAACACAACTTTACCTTTTTGTTAAGCTAAGTGAACACTCATTAAACATTACCTTTGCTAACTAAACAATATCTGCTCCTTTAGTAAATCAACCCCAATGTCTTTGAAAGATTAAAAATTTTGGCTGAAAAAGATTTTTAGAAGAATGCTGATGAACACGCTTTTAGGTTTAGATATTGTATATAGTTAGTTATTTGAATAGTACCATAGCTGGTTTTGATATTCATCTGCTTCATATTGTTTACTATATATTGCCGAACTCATGGACCTAATTTGCTAGGTTTAATTAATCCCTGCTTTCTCAGGGGGACCACGGTTGGTTCTGTTCAGTGGTCAATTTTTGGGATGTAGTTTTTAAAGGGTAATTAAAGTGTATGTCCATTCAGAACCCTTTTTTTATTTTGGACAGAGTAGGAGAGAATATAAACCTATGACAATGACTTTACTGCTGTCCTGGGCTTTGATAGAAATTTCCCCTTATACACAACAGTTTTTTTCAGAAAGAATGTGATGGAATATCTACAACAGGAAAACAGACATAAAAGAAAAACTGTCAGGGCTTTAATCTTCCCATACTCTACTAAAATAGGCATAATTATTACTGGCTGTATTGCTGTTGGAGATTATCCCTCACTTCCTTTCTGATGATACCATTTTCACTGGGATGTTAAGTGAGGGGATTAGGTAAGAGCTGAATACACTTTGGTTGCTATAGGTTCTACCGAACATGTCAAAAGTTTCTAAACTCCATTTAGGTCAATAGGAGCTGAATCAAATCAGTTCTCTAAATTATCAAGGCTAATAGCCATGGGATTGACAAATGCATGGGGGGGGGGGTCTGGGCACTGCTCCAGGGACACGTAACAATGCAAGAATTTTGCAGAGAGCAGTTCACCACTTCACGAGTTGTGGGCCCTCCAAGAAGGTATTTTAAAGCAATCGTGCATTTTAATGTTGCACTTTCAGCTTTATTTAATTCAATAATGCTGAAAGTGCAACATTAAAATGCATGATTGCTTTAAAATACCTGCTTGAAGGGCCCCCATCTCGCGAAGTGGGGTATCTCTACCATGTAAACAAAATAGTATAGCAAAAGTGACATTTTTCAAAGGAAACTGAAGGTAATTCTCATTTCCCTGCCTCCATTAATTTGTGAATAATGTAAAGGGGACCCCCAAAAATACATACCAGAACCCCATCAAGGAGGATGAGGGACTTTAAGACATTATTTACTGCTTGCAGGGGCAAATGATTTAACATTTTTAAGCATTTCTATTTCTTATTTTTGCTATACAGGAAAAAGAGAAAATACATTACATGGGCCCCCCAAATCAATTCCAGGCCCTTTAACATGATATGGATTCTAGGGGGTACCCAAGCATGAACAAATCATATGGACTTCCTCTGAAATCAATACCAGATCCTTCAGTAGGACTGATGTTGATGAGGAAAAAGACCCTTCCCCATAACCCTAACCCTGTGGTAGTTAGGGTGTGGGGGAAAACGTATTAATCTGAAAGTCTCTTAAAGTTCAGGGGGGTCCCAGATTACCCACATGTGAAGGAATAAAAACGTCAGTTGTAAATAAACACAAGCTAGTTTTTCACTTAAAAAATTAAAAAAAAAACCCAAAATATCCAGCATTGTAAATCCAGCTTCTATCACAATTATTTTTGCTCACCAATCACTGAAAGAAAAACTGATACACTGACTTTTGCTCATACCACACTCCGCCACTAATGACAGCTCAAGGGAATGGAGTGTGGTCACATCACTGACAAAATATAGATATGGCCATATTTGATCTATTACCATGGCCATATTTGGCCAGTGTTGTCACTAACATCCTCTACCTTTGCTTATATTGAAGATAAAAAAGAAGGATTTTGGAAACTTCAGTCCCCAGAGTTGTCATTTCTTGTTTTTTTCAACCAGGAAAGTAGCTGTTCAAGCACCTGTGTTTTATCAACTGCTTTGAAATCCAGAGGAGACATTAGGGGGGTTATTTACTAAAGCTGGAGAGTGCAAAATCAGACTCACTTCTGCATAGAAACCAATCAGCTTCCAGGTTTCATTGCCAAAGCTTCATTGAACAAGCTGAGGTTAGAAGCTGATTGGTTTCTATGCAGAAGGGAATCTGATTTTGGACTCTCCAGCTTTAGTAAATAAACCCCCATGAGTCTAATAGACTTCTAAAATCCCCATAAAGAATACCTGTCACAGCCCAAGTTATCACAAGGGGGGTTGTTCACCCCCTTGTGATAGAAATAAAGTTAAAAAGGTGTAAACAAAAAGTAAACTGAAATAAAATAAAAAAAGTAAAATCACCCCTGTCCCCTGTGCATGCATGCAAATCCAAACATGCATGTAGGTCTAGCATGAACATTTAAAGATGATTGCACCATCACTAACCCACTGGGTATACTTTTAAGTGCATAGCAAAGCTGCCAGCTGTAAGATGTGTACAGCCATAAAATAAAAAAATCAAAGCATAAAAAGGTGCCAAAAAAGAAAGAAGGAAAAAACAAAGGAAAAAAAAGTACCTGCTGGTACTTGGATATGCCCAGAACCTAAGGTACAGTGCTAGATTCATAGTACTAGAACCAGTAACCTCAGAGGTTTGTTTGCACAGTTTCACCTATAAAAGCATTTTAGCATATCTATCATAGCATAGGAGCAGAGCATAGCTATAGGCTATCAACTATAGTCTCTAAGACCCTATAAGTTTCATTTGGCTACAGCTTCCTTGACCTTTACCAAAATTTTATTTCAGGAAAAATGCATAGGAATTAGCATAAGACTTACTATACAAGATTAGATCCCCAAATGGTAATAATAAGAGTTGACAAATCTGCCTGACGTTTGTTGAATTACTATATTACCTTTGTACACCTCCATCCCATTCAGTCAGTGATTGTATGCACAGTAGATTCATGAACATCTTCTTTCTCATGAAATTTAGAACTTTGCAGTCTTTATGAAATACCACAGGATGCTTTGATTACTGACCATTCATTTCAGTGATGTTTGCTGTTGCCACAGTTATGTAAAAGATGATCTATATAAAATATTTGATTTTCAACCACAGTTAATGTGTGCACTTTTTTAAGATCATGTGATTGCTTTTCCTTAAACAGGTTAAGACAGGGCATATGCATACTACACACTGTAAGAAAGCCACAAATTAATTTCAGCTTTGCTGATAGCACTTCACAAATATGCTCACTCATTTTGGTCAGAACAAGAAGCTATGGTTTGGATGTAAAGGAAAAAGTAAAGTACAGTTTATACTGTATATACTAGCAAAGTGATGTTTCTGCTCATTTCTAATTCAGATAAATGCTTCCAGTTGTAAACAGCTACTAATTATAGTCAAGAAAATCTGGATGCCAATAACATTTGAGCCACTGCAGCACCAACATCACAGCAAGCAGAAGTCTCAAAGCGAATGGGTTGCCAGACTGATCCATTATAATCAATAGCATGATACATGGGGTGGTAATAAAATTGTGTCATAGGCTTAAAAAGGAAGAGATTGACATGCACAATATATGTATTTAGTGTACAATTTAGACAGATGTGTACACATACCTTTTTATTTCACAAACATCAGAAACCGGTAATAGTACATATACTTTTTACAGTAAATATTGCCTTGGTGACAATCTCTACATTTTCATTCTTGATTATAAATAACATATTCAATCATGTAGGAATGTAAAAGTGTTGCATCTGGTTATGTTTCTTCCATATTATATGGTATTTTAAAGAAAATGTCTTGTCGGCAATATTATTTTCATTTTAGATCTATAAAAAAAGAAACCACCGTAGTCTATCACTACTAACATTAAGCAAGCATATCTTTCAGAGTCTGGATTTTATCCAGATCACACTGTTTCAGTTTCTCATAAATATGAATGCATGCATTTGTTACTGCTTTAGAATCAGTTTTAATGAAACAAATTTCCTCAACATTGCACTACCTGATCTGCTTCTTACCACACTTAGCTTGCAGTGGAACTCCACTGAAATCATAGAGTTTTGGTGTCACCTGCACAGCACACAGAAATATTCTCACACTGACACTGATTTTAATAGTTATTTTTAAAAATTGACTTGAGATGGTGACACATAGCCTTGTTTGTAATGGTGATGATGTTCTCCCTTTAGGGTCTTCAAAACAATTAAAGGATATACATTGCAACATACCAGTCCTTAGAGGTGGTTGCTACTTGAGTTTTAATGTTTTATGGCTAAGAAATGCAGTGTCTTGATCTTGTCAGTAATCCAGTGTCCTTTTCACTTCCTCTGAGATGAACTGAAAGCACAAACAATGTTATCTTCCTAGAGCAAATTACTAATCCCTCACCCCATATGTAATGGAGATAAAGAGAGGAATATATGTTTGAAGCCCAGTCTGGACGATAACCATAGCTCCCTCCAGTCAAGTGAGTGATCAGAGCCCCAAGGGACACTAAGGTGTTGATTTCCTTAAACTGGAGAGTACAAAATCTGGCACAGCTGTATATGGTAGCCAATCAGCTTCTAACTTCAGCTTGTCCAATTAAGCTTTGACAAAAAAAACTGGAGGCTATTGGTTTCTATGCAAAGCTGCACCAGATTTTTCACTCTCCAGTTTTAGTAAATCAAGTGTGTTATTTGCAGAATTACCGTATTTTTCACTCCATAAGATGCACCTGACCATAAGATGCACCTAGGTTTTAGAGGCAGAAAACTATATTCTATATTATAAACAAAAAAAAATATTCTAAACCAATGGACTGCAGACATAGTACAGGAGATTACCAGAGACTGTGGACACAGTACAGGAGATGACCAGAGACTGCGGACATAGTACAGGGGGATGACCAGAGACTGCGGACATAGTACAGGAGATGACCAGAGACTGCGGACATAGTACAGGAGATGACCAGAGACTGCAGACAGTATAGGGGATGACCAAGAGACTGCGGACAGTATAGGGGATGACCAGAGACTGCGGACATAGTACACGGGATGACCAGAGACTGCGGACATAGTACAGGAGATGACCAGAGACTGCGGACATAGTACAGGAGATGACCAGAGACTGCAGACAGTATAGGGGATGACCAAGAGACTGCGGACAGTATAGGGGATGACCAGAGACTGCGGACATAGTACAGGGGATGACCAGAGACTGTGGACACAGTACAGGAGATGACCAGAGACTGCGGACATAGTACAGGAGATGACCATAGACTGCAGGCATAGTATAGGAGATGACCAGAGACTGCGGACATAGTACAGGGGATGACCAGAGACTGCGGACATAGTACAGGAGATGACCAGAGACTGCGGACATAGTACAGGAGATGACCAGAGACTGCAGACAGTATAGGGGATGACCAAGAGACTGTGGACAGTATAGGGGATGACCAGAGACTGCGGACATAGTACAGGGGATGACCAGAGACTGTGGACACAGTACAGGAGATGACCATAGACTGCAGGCATAGTATAGGAGATGACCAGAGACTGCGGACACAGTACAGGAGATGGTCAGAGACTGCAGACATAGTACAGGAGATGGTCAGACTGCGGACATAGTACAGGAGATGACCAGAGACTGCAGACAGTACAGGAGATGACAGCTGACCTTTGGGGAGGGGGGGGAGTGGGTACCTGAATTTGACAGGTACCCGCTCTTACTTCCGCGGAGTTGTTCTTTGGTTAGTGCCCGCTCTGCAGTGGGACCTTACCTGTTCCTTTATCCAGCGCCGCGGTGTCTTCCCGGCTTCTGTAGTGTGGGCAATCGGCTTGACAGCCGGGTGCCCAGCGCGCATGAGCGAGAAGCGCTGCACTTTGTGATTGGTCCGGCAGCTTCTGGGACCTGTCATGTGTCCCAGGTGCCGCCTTACCATTGTCATGCCGAGCGCCCACACTACAGAAGCTGGAAAGACAGCGCGGCGCTGGATAGAGGAACAGGTAAGGTCCAGCTGCAGAGCTGAGTGGACGGCCCTGTATTCTGACACGGCGGCGGAAATACCGGACCGGCCGCTCCATGTTCGCTCCATAAGACGCACTGACATTTTCCCCCCTTTTTTGTGGGGAAAAAAGTGCATCTTATGGAGCGAAAAATACGGTAATATAAAATAATGGAATACAAAAAATAAAGGAATAAATAACCCCCAAAGTAGAATATTAATGCAGTCACCTTCATATAAACACTGGTAAGTTGCATTTTTATTAGATTTTTTTTTTATTTCAATACACTTTAAGACCAAGCAGGAGAATGAGCTCCATAGCATGTATTTACTTTCTTTTGAGATCCTGTGTCCTTATAAGAAATACATTACCTGGAAATTGAACATTAGGAATATTTGAAACTTAGTGAGGAGCCTAGTGATTATATTCTATAGTATATGTACCAGTTTGCTGAATGTTAATTTTCTCCTTTCCCTGCTCCCTAAAATGATTCAATACTTTAATAAGATTAACATCCCCATTTCATTCTTTAGACTGCAAGTGTTTGATTTTCTTGACTATTTTTGTGCAGACCTGTCTGATGTGTAAAGAATAACACACTTCAGGAACCAAATAACTGTGGTTATTATACATTTTAAATAGTAAGTTGTATAATTCTCAGATTTGAAAAGAATGCACGAATACCCACTTATTGTCAAAGGGGCTTCCACATTCTGAAAATCCTCCCACCTACAGACCCCCACAACCACCAGGCCAGGGTTGAGGGGATGAGGCTTTTATCCTCATCAATGTACCCCCCTCATATGACCTGGCAAGGTTCAGGAAGGGGAAACACAGCTTTAATTTCTGGATTTTTGTGATTTCCTCTTTAAAATGGAATGCAAATTGGGGGACCTCATGTCATTTTGTTTGCGTTCCACCTTAAAATTAATACTACACCAAAGAGCCTGGTAGGAATTAGGGGAGAACCCCATGCCATTTTTTGTGTAGGGTTCACCCATTAACATTTATATCAGCCTCTTACCTAGGATAAGGTCTGATATAAATAATGGAATCCCTGACAGCTTTGTTTACAGAAGAATGAAGTAGCCAAGGGCTGTCGTTTTGCAACTTAAACACACTTTATTCTTTATAAATGTCAGTTTTGCTGCAGCAGGTTGTATCATCACACAGTTACACCACTTCCCAGGTAGGGTCAGAGCATCCCCAAGCATGTTATTTATTGGCGTTTTGCATTTCTAATGTGTCACATTAGGCATTGCTAAAAGCCCTGCTCCCTGCCAAATGGAGTTATTAAAAAATTGCTTTGCCTTGGTAATACTCTGCAGAGCAGTGCTCAGTTCACATGCCATTTATTTGAAAATCGCTTGCCTATTAGCCTAGAAAATGCCCATTACTGTATTTAACATTCAACAACTATTGCCTTCAAAGGAGTTTAGATTCAGCAGCCAAACTTTAGCAATGTTTACTTAACCTTCCTCAAACCAAATCCAGGTACCATCACTCACCACTATTTGTTTGGTTACCGTTTCAACTTATATGCAAATCGATTTTCCCATACTTATTTACTAACCTGGAATTATGTGAGTAGTTTGAACAATGATTATAGCAATCCATGAACATTTAGCTTGTATCTTTTACATGTCTGTGAAGGTTTCTGTTTTCCAGGGCTTGGTATAGATAGTATACATTACATTGAAATTATTTACAAGTTACATGACTCATACAAGTGGATTCCCTGGTTCTAATGAGTGTCAGAAGCATACCCCAGTGTTTATAGCCACATGGGTATAATTGTATATAATTAGTCACTTAAGTCCACTCACCATGACTGTATGAAACATGGCATTTTTTCATGATTGTTGATAGCAAGAGTGGATTCTGTGGGTTATTTTAGTGCAAATTGTACTTCAAAATGTTGGTATATTATCCCAAATATTGCGCTGCCTACTAATATCCTCTGATTTTTACAGACACATTGAGTAAGACTGTGCAAATGATGATTCACAAAGAGCCTTAACCTTTGGCACCCAATACCCACTGACCTTGCAGCCTTGACTGAAAATAGTTCCAAAAGATCACAGTACCTTACACATCACCAAATGCTCTTTACATTGCTTTACCTTCAGTTCATTCCTCAAACATGATTTTTCAGTTTTCTCTTCATCAATAACACATATATGTTTAATGTAATGGAAAAATGCATCGATATGCCTATTTTTAAAACATCTACTGTGCATTAGATATTTATTTTTCAGTTTTTGCCTGACATCAATCTTTACTGAATAATTTTTCATTGATGTCTTTTTATAGATTAGTAAATTGTACTGCACATTCATAACCATTGGATTTTACACAACAAGACTAATGAGCCGATTAGTTTAGTAAAACATATTTTACAGCTCTCCTGCACTTTTAGAGCTGCTATTCACAGTCTACATTCAAGTAACTATGATACATATTTTAATTACAGTTACAGCAATCTATCAGAAACCCTTATTTACCAAAAATAGATTGAACTACCCAAGCAGTAGAAAACTGTTGTTAATCATAAAAACAGTTTTAGACACAGAGACAGCACAGCCTAATTGAAAAGGAAATAAATTAGCCAAGTAATAAAAATAAATAAATAAAATCTGAAAGTACATTTTCATTGTCTAGGCTTATGAAGGTTGTTGTAAGTTGATTGTGTATCTTTTTTTTCTATCTTTGGTCCCTGTGTGAACTAATTCAGGCTCAGCGCAGGGCTGTGTTTAATATTGTGGCACTGACAATCCGGTATCTATGGCAAAAAGATAAATGGGACAGTAACAGGCCTCATAATGTATGAATTGTTATGAGGTTTCCTTATTTTGTTTCCCTATTCGGTATGTTTTTGAAAATTTGTGACTAAATTTAGCTGCAAAACTATACATAGAGGAGTGAGAGTATGTTGAGAGAAATCAGAGGGATCTTTATAGATCAGGAAGCATGACACCATATTTTCATTTCTCTCTTGTTTGATGGCCTGTACAGTTGAGCTCCACATATGAAGCAGAGAGCATACCTCCAATGTATCCCAGCAGTACATTTTCTAAAATGATCACATCACAAATGCAGTTTGTTTTGTACATCATTTTGAGACATTTCTTAGTTCTTTCAGAAGTCATTAATAAATGCTTTTGACCTGCAGTTGACTTTCAACTGACCTGCATTTGTCTTGCTTCAGGCTGTTTTTGCATTTCTATTGACTTTTATAGAGAAAGAAGCAGTTCTGAGATTAACACAGTCTTTAAGTATGGCCTGGCTCCATCTTCTCTTTCTCATTGTCAGAGCTTGTCAAGATAATTCTATTAGTCTGTCACTTATTACAGGTGGAGCGTCTAAACATGTCAAACAAAGTCAAACTTGAGGGCCTCTTCTTTTCTACTTGGAGTTGGTAATATACCAATTAATGCCCCTCACCCACTGTTTGCTTGATGTAACAAGTACTCTGTAAACTTCAGTTATTTTGTGTGGCTGCAATATGTATTCTGATTTACTAAAGAAATTTAGAATCTTCACACACTTAAGTGTGTATATATTTAATCCACTTGTCCAGTCATATGAAAAGTAAATGCATGTCCACTTTGAATACACAATCTTGTGCAGATGAAATAAGTGAGCAGTAACTTGCTTTTCACATGATTGGAAATTAAGTGAATATTCACACAATTTATTGTGTGAAGAAACTCAGAACCTTATCAGGCAATATGCATGGATAGAGTAAATTATATAGTTTTCTTATTTTTGCATTCTTTGTTAAAAGAAGCTGCACAAAAAAGACTTAAATAGACTTTTGAAGGGTTAGAACTCCCATTTGGGATTATGAGCATTTACCTTTCTAGGGACAAGTTTTTTTCCAGATAGAAAATAAGGGATAAACTAAAACCGTCATGCTGACAGTAGTAAAAACCTGACAGAATTCTAATTCTTCCCCACTTTCTCCAAAACAAATAAAATGCTTTGGCTGTTCATACTGTATACTTCATTTTTTTCTGTTATTTTGCTTATACCATCATTTTAGAAAATATATATATATATATATATATATATATATATATTTTTTTTTTTTTTTTAAAGATGAAGTTTAATTTTATTATTTTTGGCTTCTTTGCCCCCACCTCCCAACATGCTAATACAATAAAAGAAACTTTCAACTTTCAAACACCCCTTAATTTGCACTCAGCAATGTCATAACTAGGTATGTGTGCCTCTCTGTGCAATATGAGCAGATTATGGCTGGTGGGAGGGACTAGCAAGGTGCTTTACATAGATTCCTGAAAACATCACATCACTCTGCCTCAGTACTACTCTCTCCTCTTGGGAAGGAGTATGTAAATATCAAATGCATTATTGGGTGAATGTAAGGATCAGGCATTCTAGGGAATGTAGATTACCCTAGGTAATGATCACATGTGATGTTGAGCCTCTATGTTTTAAAGACCTGAAATCCAATGAATGAAAGGAGTGTGTAAGAGAGAGTCAGGCTGGGAAGTAAAATGTTGGATGATGATGGATGTACTGCAGCCAGGAAATGAGGTGGGCTCTAGTTTACTTGCTGTTGCTTTTAAAGCGTG